TTTGATGCAGATGGAGATTTTTTTTTTAAATCTCTTCTCCAGAAGAAGTTTTTCTTTTAGATTTTTTAATCCATGTTCTCAAAATTATTATTTTTGATTTTATTTGTAAGGAATAAAGCAGTGGGTTCAAATCTGTTCTGTTCTTCTAGAATCTTCCAGATAAACTCTCTGGCTTTGAACCAGCAGTACCAGTAGAGGACAGTAAAAATCCTTCTCTTCATCTGATGAACATCTTATTTTAAGGACTGCAGTAAAAACATTTTTAAGGAGTGGTGTTAAAGTACTTGAGCGACTGACTCACTGTGGACTTGACACCGACCTGAGGACAATTGTTCTTAACGACTTGGACTTGGAACGAAGTCTCAGTCAGTGTCAGTGGGATTGTTAGGACTCAGATTGGACTAAGAAACAGATTCTTCCGAACGACTTTACATCTTTACGAACCCTGATAATCGGACGAACTAGGACTCGATTCAACAACGTTAAGAACCGAAGTGAAACTCAACGCACTTTTTCCTAGTCCACCTGAATGTATCACAGGGTGGAGTGGAGCGGTGCAGCGAGGAGGTCACTGGTTTGACCCCCAGTGGAAACAGATGGTCTGTCCAGTTTTTCCTGTGTATTCCTGCAGGTGGTTCATCGTCAGTACACGGTCAAAAAAAACACACACAACGCAGGTTTGGGGTTAATGTTCGTGTTGAACTGACCTTAGGTGTGAATGTTAGTGTGAATGGCTGTTGTGAGGATTATATGTGATGATTTCTTGGACTTGAACCCGGGAGACAGAGAGTCTTTAACTCTTTAGCTCTGTCACAGTTTGGGGCTGGATTTTAAAGCAGCCGTTATCTTGAGAAATAATGACGGTCTAACACAGTAAATGCTAGTAGATTCAATTCTGTGTAAGATGTAAAATTAGACAAACTGCATTTAAATAATTGACCTTTCGTGACCTTTCGCGACTGCTGACCGATTGTTTGCACGCCGACACGTCCGGCTCCCTTTTTTCTGATTATTTGCAACGTGTTTTCCTTCAAATGTCTTTTTCGGGGTCTCCTTAAGAAAATATATCTGTTATTTTATTAGGAGTGACCAGAACAGATGAGCAGACGCTCAATAAAAATCTGGGGGAAAAAAAAATAAAATAAAAGAAATAAAGAACTTGTGGTAATTCCACAGGGTGATTTTGATAAAAACCATCCATCTCCTCGAACGTTTCCTTTCCTTCTGCTCTTCCTCCATCTGTC